TGAAGCTCCAATACTTTGGCCACCTGATGTGAAGAACTGACTCATTGGAAAAGACCCTGACGCTGGCAGTCTGAAGGCAGGAGAAGGGGATGACAGAGGATAAGATGGTTGGATGGCATCACCAACTCAATAGACATGAGTTTGAGCAAGCTCTGGGAGATGGTGAAGGACACAGAAGCCTGGCATGCTGCAGTTCATGGGGTCACAAAGAGTCGGATACGACTGAGCAACTGACCACCACCACTAGGAAACTGAGCTGAGTGCCTTGTGGATAATAATTTCCCTTAAAGATAAGGATCAGTACAAAACAAAGTCAGACAATCCGGGATATACTGGGTGGTACCTAAGACAAATTCTTAACTTCTTACTTATGATCTTAATAATACTGTTAGCTATATTATTTTTTTACATTGCCTGTTTTACAAGATTGTCATTTCTTGCGTTACCAACATGTAACTGAGACTCCAACAAAAATATATAGTTCTATATGAAGTCAATGATTAGAACAGTGGAACTCTTCCATGAATGAGAAGAAGCTACAAGAGGGAATCTTTTCCTGGACTGTAAGAGCCTAGTAATTAATACAGGTGGTATAGAGGCTTATGACTACTGTTAATAAGGCCTAGTCCAATAATAGCTCATTGAGCAGCCTAGCAACAAAATTTCACCAGACCCAGGAATGAGCATTCCGAGCACCATGGGATGAAATGGTTATAAAAGGGCCCTTTTTACGACCATAAAATTTATGACCATAAAGGGGCCCTGACAACTGGAGACTGGCACTTGCCACCTACCACTGCAGGTTGCTGGCAAGGGTTAAATCATGAGCTGCTGTAGCTGCTGACCTTTAACACCCCCTAAAAGACGTCCAGGTTGGAGATCAGTAATGAGGCACTCACTCTGTGCTCTGGGAAAAACTGACAAAACAGATCTTCAGATAGTTAGATATTGAGATTTTACAAGCCCAAATTCTTGCATCTTCTCATACCTAGAGAGGTACTAACATCATTAATGGCAGCATTTGCTTTGGCTATTAAGGAGAAAACTACAATTAAAAGTCAAAATGGAGTACTATGCTTCAGACATCCAAGGCACTACTAAGTGACACTTAGTACTGCGTGTGATTTCAGACAAGTCCTTATACTGTTGAGAACTTAAGTTTTCTGAGTGGTGTCAGTCTTGAGATGCCACCAGCCATGCTAAGAGCTGGCAACTACAACCTTACTTTTTAAGTCTCCTCTTGTAACTATTACATTTCTAGATATTAAAATTGCTTTACAAAATAACAAAGAGAGACATGTATGATGATCAACAGCTTATATTATTTATGTGTTAATATCACATCAAAGGTTAAAACCTAGTTAGATTAAACTAAACAACTGGCTACCTGGCTACAAGTCTCCCCAAAGCACTAGGTCCAAATTGGGTTTCAGGCTTACTTTCCTGAGAGGAAATGAGATCTATTTTGCCTATTAATGTCAGGTTGTCCAACCAACTGAGTCTTTAACACCCACATCAAATCACACTGGGCTAACAGAAGCAGACATCAAAAATATGTAAGATCACGCCAAATGGCTTCATCCCTTCTGATAGAGTAACCCCAATACTGACTCCATCTGGACTAGGATCAAAATTGCTAGCATATATAACCTGGTTCTTACTCCTGCTTGGGTCCCTGGTTATAATAGTTCATTTATTGGTTTTTGGCCCCTGCCTTTTTAATCTACTTGTTAAGTTTGTCTCTTCCAGATTACAGTAGTTTCATATCAAGATAATGGCAATGCAGAGATGCCAGCCACTCCTCATAACAGATCCTGCTGATGTAACGAGAGGTCATCCTGGGCCCCTTAGTGAGACAGGGTGAGAGCTCTGTAACCCCAACTAGGTAGGCTTACAAGTCCCATGCCAGTCCAAAAGACAGACCTTCATGCTTTACCCTCCCAATAAAGATTTCTTGGGGTTCACGTCTCTCGGGGGGTTTGAGACAGGACATAGATGGGCCCCAGGCTGAGCAGCTGGAGTTTGTCCCCTGTGGACAGATACTCCAAGATGAAAATAATAGCAGAAGTGAAGAGGACCTGAGCCCTGCCCAGATAGAGACCACATATTTCTTATTCTTGAGGTCAAGGAGATGTTCCCAACAACACGTGCACAGAAAGGCTCCTAAGGGGCCAAAAAGAAGGGGGAACCACCCCATGGTAGATGATGTCAACCTGCCCATAGGCCTCTTCACTAGAATCCACCTTGGCTGAGAAATGTACACTCACACAGGGGAGGACCTTGAGTTAAATCAAATACAGTCTCAGAACCAGGTAAAGTAATATGACTGGCCAGAGGAAACCTGGAAGAAACGCCCAATATAAGTGATTCAAACTACCTCCAGGGCATGATTCTCTGAGTCTGCTCATGTCAGTCTATTCATACATACCCTTTTTCTTTCAAATATACACTTTACATGTTTCACTACTTTCTGTCTCTGTGGAGATTCATTTCTACAAAACCAGTGGGCCAGGGCCTTGTCACTGCACACTGGCCTTTGTCACTGTCCACTGGCCCTGACGGTCTAGAGTCTAGGATTCAGTGCTATATCGCAGCCTGACTTCAGTCTTTGGCCACGGAGCCAATATCCTGCTTCAAGCCACTGCAGGCTAAGACTGCCTGAGATCATTTTCATAATCAGAGTTATCTTTAGCCATATAAAAGTGGAAACAATTTAAAAGACTATCAACAGTGGGTCAGTTAAATAAGCTAGAGAATATAAACTCAATGGAATACTATTAAGTAATTCAAAATAATGAAACAAAAGTATATATATTTTAATGTATCTACAGGTGGCACAGTGGTAAAGAATCCATCTGCCAAGCAGGAGACACTGGTTTGTTTCCTGGGTTGGGAAGATCCCTGGGAGAAGGCAACCCACTCCAGTATTCTTGTCTGGGAAATCCCATGGACAGAGGAGCCTGGAGGGCTACAGTTCATGGGGCCAGAAGAGTTGGACATGACTTAGCAACTAAAAAAAACAGCAACAAAAATATCACAAAATAAATACTTGATTTGTACAATGGTAAAATAAAATTCTATTGATGTATTAAAATATTTATGTGAGTGTATTTATATACACACAGAGGGTTTTTTTTTTTTTTTATAAAGACACAAAAAAGCCTGGAAGAAATACACAACAAACTCTTGGGGCGCGGGGGTAATGAGAGGCACAGGACCTCACTACACATACACCAAAGAAAAACCTACTTAGGGAAGAGACATAAACTAGGAGTTTGGGATTAGCAGATACACAGTACTATATATAAGATAAGCAAGAGTGATTTAACACAGGCAACAATATTCTATATCTTGTAATAACCTATAATGGAAAATAATCTTAAAAAATATATGCATATCACTGAATCACTTTTCTGTATACCTAAAACTAACACAACATTGTGAATCAACTATACGGCAACAATAAAAAGGAAAAACTATAAGCCAAAATGTATATAGAAAAGTCTATGTCCTAAACACACACTAATAGTTAAAATACCATAATTCAAAGATTCATACACAGACTTTCAGCATGGTACATTTTAATGAAAAACTAAAAGCAAGACTAAATATAAGAAAATGATGCAATCATTAAAAATGTTCATAAAAGGTTACATATTTTAAAAGAAAATATTTCAGACAAAGAAGTACAAAAATTAAAAAAGCACCCATGTACATAAACACAAGAGAATATTACTCAGCCTTTAAAAAGAATGCATTGAATCAGTTCTAATGAGATGGATGAAACTGGAGCCTATTAGACAGACTGAAGTTAAGTCAGTAAGAAAAACACCAATATAGTATACTAACGCATATGTATGGAATTTAGAGAGATGGTAACGATGACCTTATACGCGAGACAGCAAAAGAGACACAGATGTAAAGAACACTCTTTTGGACTCCGTGGGAGAAGGTGAGGGTGGGATGATTTGAAAGAGTAGTATTGAAATGTGTATACTATCATATGTAAAGCAGATTGCCAGTCCAGGTTCAATGCATGAGACAGGGTGCTCAGGGCTGGTGTACTGGGATGACTCTGGGGGATTGGATGGGGAGGGAGGTGGGAGGGATGTTCCGGATGGGGAACACATGTGCAGCTGTGGCTGACTCATGTCGATGTATGGCAAAAACCACTATAATATTGTAAAGTAATTAGCCTCCAATTAAAATAAATAAATTAATAAAAATAAATAAATAAAAAGCACCCATGTACCAAACACCCAGACTAAGAATTTAATACAGTTTTTAACAACACAGGACTTTATGATAATGTTAGATGGAAAAAAATCTCAGAATACAAAATTAGGAGTATGACTTCAGCTACTTAAGACAGTACGTAAAGGAGAAGAAACACATGAAAATGTCAACAATGGGTATCACTCACTGACTGTACAAGACTTTTATATCTCGTATTTTTCCATTGCCAAGTTTTCTACAATGAGCTATCACTTTTATCACTATAAAAATTTTATTAAAAAAATGTTTCTGGAGTAGGAAATGGCAATGCACTCCAGTATTTTTGCCTGGAAAATCCCATGGACAGAGAAGCCTGGTAAGCTGCAGTCCATGGGGTTGCAAAGAGTTGAATGTAGCTGAACACACACATACAAAACAGAAACAGACTCACGGACACAGATAACAGACTTGTGGTTGTCAAGGAGAAGAGGGGAGGCGGAGGGATGGACTGGGAGTTTGCAGTTAGTAGATGCAAAATATTACATTTAGCATGGATACACAACAAGGTCCAACTCTATAGCACAGGGAGCTATATTCAATATCCTATAATAAACCATGATGGAAAAGAATATGAAAAAGAATATGAAAAAGTATATATATAACTGAATCACTTTGCTATGCAGAAATTAACACAACACAATTAACACAAATTAACATAATCAAATCAACTATACCTCAGTAAAATTAAAAAACAAAAGAAAAAAATGCTTCACTGGCATCGTTACCTTGGGATCATGAACAAATGTATTTCCCTTGGTTCCAGGAGGAAAATCTCCAGTACAAATATATTTTAGACATTCAATGATGGTCTAAAGAAATATAAAGTTATATTATTTACTTATTAGAAAACTGCAGAATTTAACCATAAAATGTTAATTCATTATAAATGTTTATAAAAGATAAAAGACTATAAAGATATGATTAGGTAAATTTTGATATTATAAAACCTGACCTATAAATATAGAAGAGCTACATAATTAAGATGGTATACTGAAATAAAAAATAATCATTATTTTGGGAGGAAAATGTTCTATTTCTAATTAAAATTAAACTAAGTTTTTAATAACAATGGCTTAAACAGCTCATCATAGCTGAATACACTATATTGTATAAATGAAATTTACTGAGAGTGAAACTTAAATGTTGTCTCTCACACACACTCACACATACACACACACATGGATAAATATGAGGCTGATACCCTGCAGGGCTCTGGGCACAAGGACTTTCTGTGTCCCCCATTTCTTTGATTATAGGAAGTAGCCTTCATTCACCCTCCATGACCTTCCCTGAGTTCCAAAGGGTAGATTCAAGCAATAAGGTTATTTTAGGGAAGGGAGGGGATGTAGGGAAGGGAGGCGATGAGACCAGAGAGACAGCCAAGAGCAGCCTTGGGGCAAGGTCCTGTTTCCCTATCAACAGATACACACAATATCTTTGAGCTACTTTGCAGATACCAAAATTCACTCCAGGTGGGATGCTGCCCAGGGCATGCAGCCAGACCCCAGAGTAATTACACCTGAGGGCTGATGATGCTGATTCCTACTTACCTCACCTTCAGAAGAATGGCCACAAGCTAATCATGCTCTGTTACTATAAAACTTGTCACTATATTCCCCAGTTGGGGACACATGGTCTGGAGGGCATGAGCCCACTGTGTCCCCCTTTCCGTGGCAAAGCAATAAAGCTACCTTTTTCTGCTTCACCCAACACTGTCTCCAAGATTTAATTTGGCAACGTTGTACAGAGAAGCTGAGCTTTCTGGTTCAAGGTGATATATGTGTTAACTAACTAGAATAGGAGAAACCTTTTGGGAAATACATGTTTGTCAAATCACCATGATGTATACTTTAAAGAGCCTACAATGTATATGTATACAATGTATATGTATACTCCAATAAGGCTGAAGTTTTTTTAAAAGCTGAAACAAAACAAATGGCTAGTATCAACCTTATTATGTGACAGGTACTGTACTAGCCACTTTTACATACATTAAGCATTTAATTCTCACATTAACCCTAGGCCATAGAAACTATTTTTAACATCCATTTTATAAATGAGAAAACTAAGGCGAAGAACATTTAGGTCACTTTTGCCCAGTCACACAACTAATAAATGGAGAAGCAAAAAAAAAAAAAATTCTGTATTCAAGCAGCTAGGGCTCATAAACACTAAACATACTAATCTATCAGTAGAACACTTAATATAGTGCTTAAGTACATAAAAAAATTCAGTAAATAATATTTTTACATAAACAAATAGACAAGAGTCTGGCATTAAACTCTCAACACTAAACCTCGTCTTTCTCTCTGCTTTTCGCTTCTTCTCCCTGTTACAATGGTTATCACCTTGCTTTTCTCAAACCACCCTTTCAGACCAGAGAGCCTCTGAGCTACACTTCTCTCATAATTGTATACCATTCCAGGGCTCAACTCAAATTTCTAAGTATTTCCAGGGTTTTAAAGTCACAGTATATATGCTGTGCTCTAACCTTTTATTTGAACTAGGTAAGAGCATCCCAACAACAAAAGTTTCCCAATTTAACCAAGCCCCAATGGATGTTTCATTTTAAAACTGTTATTTATCTAGTCATTATGCTGAGTCGGGATAGTCAGTTTTCTTAAAGTCATACATCTATATTTATATTTTATAACTTAAAAAAAAAAATCCCGAACGGAGACAACTACCAGGAAATGAATGCTATGCCATGAGAATAAAGAGAATATATATATATATATATATATATATATATATATATATATATATATATATATAAGTTCCTGTGGGGCTGTGAGTTCGGTAAGCTCACGCAGATAGCTCCCGGCCTCTCGGGATTCTCAAGAAAACCTTGTCCACTGGGCAGCACTGGACGTGAGTCTGGGAGACGCCTCAGGCGCCAGAGACCTGAAGGCCAAACCAAGCCACGCTCCTGGATACGGAAGTCAGCTGGAGACCCAGGTGTACCCTGGGGCCCCAGGAGCTGAGTCATACCGACTCCTCTCACCCTGGAGTTCCGAACTCTGCAGATATTCTCCAGATTTGTAACACGTGGCGACTAATAAACTGAAGGCGGCTCCTTAGAGGACTTACCGTTTTCCCCGCCCCATTGGGTCCAACCAAAATTGTAAGGGGACTGAAGAAAGTGATAATTTGTTTATCTTTATCCTCTATTCCAAAACTCCGCACGCCCTGAATGCTCATCTTTTCGATCCGGGACATGTTTGCAAACGTTTCTTTTCTCAACAGCTGGGGTCTAGATCCCGGGGCCCACCAAAGTTTAGCAGCGAGACCGGAGCACAGCAAGAACGGGTCGTAAGGACTGCAGCGTCCCGGAAGGCTTGGGCTGGAACCGTCCCTCCCACATGGGCTTCCTTCCCTGCTGCAGGACGAGAGCGGGGGTGGGGGCCAGCCCGGGGCTGCCCGCCAGCACACCCAGGCCCAGGCAGCCCGAGACCGAGGCACTCACAGACTCCCGCCTTGGCTGCGCCGCGGGTCAGGTGGGTCGCTGCGCCGGCGCGCGTTTACGCCACAGGCGCGGGGCACGCCGGGAAGTCGGAAGCTAGGTGCGCGCGCAGGCTTACAGCCTGAGAGGGTCGCGTGCCAGGTCTTTTTGAAAGCGGCTTGTGTCTCCTAGCTGCGGACCGAGGGAGGCGGGGCGAGAGGGAGGGGAGGAGGCGGGGCAGGGGTGAGGCAGCACTCAGTTCAGTTTAGTCGCTCAGTCGTGTCCTACTCTGCGACTCCATGGACTGTAGCAGGCCAGGCTTCCCTGTTCATCACCAACTCCCGGAGCTTGCTCAAACTCATGTCCATCGAGTAGGTGATGCCATCCAGCCATCTCATCCTCTGTCGTCCCCTTCTACTCCTGCACTCAATCTTACCCAGCATCAGGGTCGTTTCTAATGAGTCAGTTCTTCTCCTTAGGTAGCCTAACTATTGGAGTTTCAGTTTCAGCGTCAGTCCTTCCAATAAATAGTCAGGATTGATTTCCTTTAGGATTGACTGGTTTGAGAGTCCAAGGGACTCTCAAGAGTCTTCTCCAAACCACAGTTCAAAAGCATCAATTCTTTGGGCTCAGCTTTCTTTATAGTCCAACTCTCACATCCATACATGACTATGGGAAAAACCATAACTTTGACTAGATGGACCTTTGTTGACAAAGTAGTATCTTTGGTTTTTAATATGCTGTGTTTATCATAGCTTTTCTTCCAAGGAGCAAGCGTCATTTAATTTCAAGCCTGCAGTCACCATCTGCAGTGATTTTGGAGCCCCCCAAAATAGTCTGTCACTGTTTCCATTGTTTCCCCATGAATTTGCTATGAAGTAATGGGACCAGATGCCATTATCTTAGTTTTTTGAATGTTGAGTTTTAAGCCAACTTTTTCACTCTCCTCTTTCACTTTCATCAAGAGGCTCTTTAGTTCTTTGCTTTCTGCCATAAGGGTGGTGTTATCTGCTGAGGTTATTGATGTTTCTCCCAGCAATCTTGATTCCAGCTTCTGCTTCATCCAGCCTGACATTTAGCATGCCGTACTCTGCATATAAGCTAAATAAGCAGAGTGACAATATACAGTCTTGACGTACTTCTTTCCAGATTTGGAACCAGTCTGTTCTTTCATGTCCGGTTCTAACTGTTGCTTCTTGACCTGGACACAGATTTCTCAGGAGGCAGGTAAGGTAGCCTGGTATTCCCATCTCTGTAAGAATTTGCCACATTTTGTTGTGATCCACACAGTCAAAGGCTTTAAGGTAGTCAATAAAGCAGAAGTAGATGTTTTTCTGGAATTCTCTTGCTTTTTCGATGATCCAACGAATGCTGGCAATTTGATCTCTGGTTCCTCTGCCTTTTCTAAATCCAGCTTGAACATCTGGAAGTTCACAGTTCATGTACTGTTGAAACCAGGTTTGGAGAATTTTAGCATTACTTTGCTAGCTAGTGTGAGATGAGTGCAATTGTGTGGCAGTTTGAACATTCTTTGGCATCGCCTTTCTTTGGGATTGGAATGAAAGCTGACCTTTCCCAGTCCTGTGGCCACTGCTGGGTTTCCCAAATTTGCTGGCATATTGAGTGTAGTGCTTTAACAGCATCATCTTTTAGGATTTGAAATAGCTCCACTGGCTTTTTTTTTGCTCCACTGGCTTTATTTGTCATGATGCTTCTTAAGGCCCACTTGACTTTGCATTCCAGGATATCTGGCTCTAGGTGAGTGATCACACCATCGTGATTATGTGGGTCATGAAGATCTTTTCTGTATAGTTCTTCTGTGTATTCTTGCCACCTCTTCTTAATATCTTCTGCTTCTGTTAGGTCCATACCATTTCTGTCCATTATTGTGCTCATCTTTGTATGAAATGTTCCCTGGGTATGCCTATTTTCTTGAAGAGATCTCTAGTCTTTCCCATTCTATTGGTTGCCTCTCTTTATTTGCATTGATCACTGAGGAAGACTTTCTTATCTTTCCGAGCTATTCTTTGTAACTCTGCATTCAAATGGGTATAGCTTTCCTTTTCTCCTTTTCCTTTAGCTTCTCTTCTTTTCTCAACTATTTGTAAGGCCTCCTCAAACAACCATTTTGCCTTTTTGCATTTCTTTTTCTTGGGGGTGGTCTTGATCACTGCCTCCTGTACAGTGTCACGAACCTCTGTCCATAGTTCTTCAGGCACTCTATCAGATCTAATCCCTTGAATCTATTTGTCAATTCCATAAGCCTCTTATCCTTATCCATGAGGGCAGACAGAATGAAAACCACAATCACTGAAAACTAATCAAACTGATCACATGGACTACAGCCTTGTGTAACTCAATGAAACTATGAGCCATGCCATGTAGGGCCACCCAAGACGGACAGGTCATGGTGGAGAGTTCTGACAAAATGTGGTCCACTGGAGAAGGGAATGGCAAACCACTTCAATATTTTTGCCTTGAGAACCCCATGAACAGTATGAAAAGGCAAAAAGGTAGGACACTGAAAGGTGAACTCCCCAGGTTCGTTAGTGCCTAATATGCTACTGAGAAGAGTGGAGCAATAATTCTAGAAAGAATGAAGAGAAGGAAGCAAAGTGAAAACAACACCCAGTTGTAGATGTGACTGCTGATGGAAGTAAAGTCTGATGCTGTAAAGAACAATATTGCTGAGGAACCTGGAATGTTAGGTCCATGAATCAAGGAAAATTGGAAGTGGTCGAATAGGAGATGGCAAGAGTAAACCCTGACATTTTAGGAATCAGTGAGCTAAAATGGACTGGAATGGGCAAATTTAATTCAGATGACCATTATATGTACCACTGTGGGCAAGAATCCCTTAGAGGAAATGGAGTAGCCCTCATAGTCAACAAAAGGGTCTGAAGTGCAGTACTTGGGTGCAGTCTCAAGAATGACAGAATGGTCTCTGTCCATTTCCAAGGCAAACCATTCAATATCACAGTAATCTAAGGCTATGCCCCAACCAGTACTGCTGAAGAAGCTGTAGTTGAACAGTTCTATGAACTACAAGACCTTCTATAACTAACACCCCCAAAAAGATGTCCTTCTTATTATAGGGGAATAGAATGCAAAAGTAGGAAGTTGAGAGATACCTGGAGTAACAGGCAAATTTACCCTTGGAATACAAAATGAAGCAGGGCAAAGGCTAACAGAGTTTTGCCAAGAGACTGCACTGGTCATAGCAAACACCCTCTTCCAACAACACAGAAGAAGACACTACACATGGACATCAACAGATGGTCAATACTGAAATCAGATTGATTATATTTGCAGCCATGGAGAAGCTCTATACAGTCAGCAAAAACAAGACCGGGTGCTGACTGAGGCTCAGATCATGAACTCCTTATTGCCAAATTCAGACTTAAATTGAAGAAAGTAGGGAAAACCACTAAACCATTCAGGTATGACCTAAATCAGATCCCTTATGATTATACAGAGGCAGCACTGAGAGACACTAAGAGTTGCAAAGACTTGAGATGGCCAGGGATTCCCAAAGTGTGATCATGTGATCTCGGGACACCTGGAGTGGAGTGGGAGGGCGTGGTGTCCGTTTCTCAGTGGCCATTAGTGTACTGTGTTTTCTAGTAATCACGTGATGTTGGAGACACCATCAAAATGATGGCTGATGGACTGTATGCATGTATATTCTTGTGATTTTTTAAAAACTCAAATTTAGCTCCAAATTGAGTAAATGTTAATAATTATAACTCACATAAAAGCTGTTTTGGATCCTCAGTAGTTTCAACAAGTGCAGACAGGAATTTAATACGAAAAAATTGTATACTATTGTAGACCAAAAGCTGTTATAAGACTCTGTGTGTGCGTGTGTTTGCACCCAGCCAGTCAGTTGTGTCCCACTCTTTGTGATCCCATGAACTGTATCCTGCCAAGCTCCAGTTTCCATGGAATTTTCCAGGCAAGAACACTGGCGTGGGTTGCCATTTCCTTCTCCAGGGGATCTTCCAGACCCATGGATCAAAACCTACGTCTCCTGCAACTCCTGCACCTGCAGGCAAATTCTTTACTCTTGAGCCACCTGGGAAGCCCACGTTATAAGACTATAAAATTACACAAATATGTGAAGGAAGTCCACTTTTATAAGCAAAACTAATTGATGTTGTTTGGGCGGGGGCTCTAAAGAGCTCCGGTGCCATAGTCCTTTATGTCTCAGTGCAAAGAAGAATTCATCCAGAGCTAAGTGATAAGAAGTGATTTATTAGAATAGGACACTTGTGAGGCTTACAAGCTGGTGAGTGAGCGATGCTGCACCCTGAGAATTTACTGGGCTACAGTTTTATAATCAAAGGGAAAATGCAGAGGGGAAGAAGGGTTTCTTTGTCTTTCTTGACTAGATGTCATGCTTCCATCATCAGTTCCTTCTCCAGATTGAGCAGGGGAGTTTTCTTGTCCCTACTGGGTCAAGCTAGTTCCACAAATTATTGTTGTCTGTGTGTGCAGAGAGCATGTTGTAGGGAATCTTTAACTTTCTGAGCTCACTGGGCAGTATGTGGATCTCATGCCACAATTATTTCATTGTTTTGGGGCATGTCGCGTGCTTCTGCTGCATGGTTTTGCTGCTAAGAAAACCTGCTTGGTTTTGTGGTTAAGCAAACCTGTTTTCTTGAGTAATCATTAACTTATGTACCTATCATTAGCATACATATTTTTTTCTACTTACCATCCCCTAGTGGGATTAGCTCTTTAATTACCTACTTTGTCCCTTCACTCTGTCCCTATC